TGAGAGTCAAAACTAAATTCCAGCCTAATCAGTCCTCCCCTTGTTCGGTGGTACTTCTCGTTAACCTCTCTCTCTCTCTCTCTGTAATTTCCGCCTAACTTCCTACATGCATTCCTTCTATTCAGGGTGTTGGCTGTTTTGCTGATTCCTATCGCTTCCCTAATATTTCACTAACCGGTTGGTATAGTTACCATATCTAGCAAAGTTTTTGGCATTTTACCAATCAATATGGTGTCCTGTGCGAGCAATGTGTTCGGTCAATTCCGATTTTTGAACCTACATACCCTTGCAGGCTGTTCTGTGTTCGGATAACATATTATGTATTGGCCTACAGGTCTCTCCCAAATAGGCACTATCACACAGGCACAAAAGCTTGTAACAGCCCGATCTGAAGAGCAGGTTAGTGCATTTTCGAAAAGAAGACAATACCGAGAACTGTTATTTTCCAGAATATATGAAGACACTCTTATCCCACTGCCGCTCTATCACAACTTCTCACTTGTTCACATTGCACTCGTCAAAATGTGTGCCCTTTTGTAGCAAACCAAGTGTGGCCTCATCACACTTGCTATTTACCCGACCCCTTTTTCGATGGGCTTATCAGACATCAAAGGGTAGACAAATTGGACTTTTCAGGAGTTTAATGTATATCATGCGGCTGCTGCGGACAGAAATATATTGGCGAAACAGGGATAAGAATTAGCACAAGTATCAAGAAAAATCAGAGGCTATGCAAGAAAATAAATACAGAAAGATCAGGACTAGCAAAACGCATCGCATAGACTGGACACGAGATCAATTGGAAGGCTCAATACGGTGACAACACAAGGAAGCGGAAAATTAGGGAGGCCATTTATATCCTTGGGGGGACAAATCTAACGAATAGGAGATTGGAGGAAGGTAAAGCTCGTGATAACTTTATCTACTGCCTAAGCAAAATCACGGAAAACAATAGAGAAAGCCCAGCAAAAAGAAGACGCCTGGACCAAGGATCTGCCGCTAACCGGAGGAAAAGGGATTGTGATGACGAAAGTGGGGGGCAGGGCTATTCGGCATTTAAGCGAAGGCGTTTTCAGTGAGAGATGGCCACTTTGAATAAACCAGTACAACCATAATTCGCCTTACTCTCTTCAGTTCCCGGTCCTGATGTTTAATATCTGCCAGAAACCAGCTCCTTATTATCATAGACCTCATAACTCCTACTTTAACCACATAAGTGTGGTTGAAGAAGAAATTTAAAGGAAAACTGCATTTTTGGGTTCCCTATGCAAATCTCTACCTAATCTGTCCCCTCTTTTCTAACTAGGGCATCCAGAAAAGGTAAATCACTATTATTAGTTAAAATTGGTATCCGTACTTACTACGTAGGTATTTAGAAAAATTTCGAAGAATTCCTTAATGGATTGATTTTGGCTCCAAGGCAACCCCTTACAGCCCCTGATGGAACCAACTTTCGAATCCCCTCCACCCACCTCTTCAAACGAAATAAAAGGTAATCCAACATCAACATATTAAGGGTTTCTTCGAAATTCGGTTTTTCTACATAACGATAGACATCTTTGATCATAGACGAAGTCCATGAAGAAAAGGCTTGATCACAAAAATTACTCGGGCTCCTTAGCCTCAAGTTAATCTCCCATCCAGCTTGAGAATCCTGATTTATAGGGGCCTACTCAGCGATGTGGGAGTATGCGTATAAAAAATAGCGCTTCGACAAGTACAGATAGGATGGCAAGGGTCGAGTGAAACACATGAATCAGGAATGTAGGGGGCGGAACATACGGGGTAAGAGGTAGGCAAAGCTGAGTGAAATTTAATGGCATTGTAATGCCTTCTCTTATCTTTATGGGACAATACAAATATCATTACCTAAGTCTCCTTAAGCAGACTATGGATAAAAAGTTTTTGAGTTGTCTTTTTAGATTTTTTAGTATCATATTCTCCTAAGTAATCTGTCTAAAATACAGTATAATCACCAACTTGGTTATCAGAAAATACACAAATGATGGATTTCTGTCTAAGGGGGATTCAATTTTAAGTAGTCATCTCTTGACATTTCGAGAGATTTAACAAGAGGAAATATAATATCTAGTTTTAAATGGATTTAGATCATTTATGGATTGATGAAAATTTGTTATAGGACAATTTTTCTGAGCGGCAGCTTCATATCTGGAGCGCCCAATATTACACTTTCGTCCATCTTTTGTCTACTTGAGATGAGCACTACATTTTAGCCTGCTGTTGCGCAGCGCTTGAAATTCCATTAACCATTTATAAATGTCAGGCTACAGTTTTCGCTACCTCACTGGAGGTAATCTAAGAACTTAATACCATGATACCACTATTTAAAATTGTCCTTTTACCTTATTGCCTCCCCTCAGCATTCACATTTTATTGCTATTCGATAGGAAACTATGTTGTAAGTGATGAACAGCATTGGGGATTGAGTTCTCGTAGAAGTGTAGTGTGGTTGTAATGTGTCGAGATAATAATTTGCACTATCCGGAGTCGATGTCCGCTAGCAGTGCGAATAAAAATTAGGCGAATTCAAAACTGCAGTCCACTTATGCTTGAATGAGAATTCATTTTGGGAAGCAAGGCTAAGTAAAACTTGATGGAAATGTGATACATCGTCATAGTATTGTGAGAAAATGTAACTTTCAGTCCTTCACCGCCGTTTGCGACATAAGATGACTGAATCCTGATTCTATCAGCCGAAGTGTTCGTTGTCCGAATCTTTATATGGGTGCTAAGGCTAAGGTTGAATCGCAGTCAGGTCAGCATGAGGACATCCTCTTGAGGGAAATTCGTTGCAAAAAGCAAACCTTTACACGTTTCAAATCCACTCGGCTTAGGAATAGCTTCGTAGGTGAAAAAGCTTTCGATTTGTGTGAGGAAAAATTCTACTGGCCCCAGACCCGTCACTTTGAGGACATAGAGTTTGACACAGTCCGTTCATTGGTTGCATCAGCTTCATTGCATAAATGGCAAGAGGATAAACAAAACTCTTTTTTCTTTGGTCACGAACAAGTTTAACGAAATAAGCAAACGAGTCATAGATAGAGGTAGGTATAAGATGATGTAAGGATTGAAATTGTATTTTGCCATAATTTAATAAAGTGCCATTGCCTCCCAAGTAGGCTTTCTCATCCTGGCTGGACTGCAATTTCGACTTTTTCTCACAGTCCTCGTCTCATAAGCCCGCCCTAACGGCCAGTGACTATGACGTTTAGTGATGGGGCGGAAGCGACTTCAAAGGCAAGCAGGCTTTCTATTCGAAATAGTAAACTTTCGAGACCACTACTAGATCTTTAGTCAGCCGTTTTCGTTCAGCGAGATGGTGAGATGTATACTAGGTTGAGACTGCATTCCGCTCTAGATGAGGCTGTCTTTTGAGAGCAAGGCAAAATAAAATCCACTTAAGTCATGAGGCCTACACATGCCAGTGTGGCAAGATTCACTATCACTTTATGCCATATCACATGTTTTAATACTACGTTCAGGTTGACGTAGTCCTCGACACATCCTCCCTCGATTCAGGTGAAAACGGGCTGAGCTTTCGTCCATCATATCATGGACATCATCAGAGCTGGAACTCATTCTTGCAAAAGTCTCGTGTTAACATTCAGTCAAGAAGAATATCCGGCTCTATCTTACCTCTATAGAATGTGTATAGACAGTATTGTGTATGAGCATTAACACAAACTCGGACAAAAGTAGCAAGGCCAATATGAAAGATAATTAGCCAAAACATTCTATATCTATCCATTTTTTATCGCTCTGAATATGTTTTTGAGACAGCCAGTAAATAAGATATATGAGCTGTGTTCATAGTATTTCGTTTAAGATGATGAAGGACTGTTAGTTGAATTTTTCCACAATGTTTTGAGGAGACATGACGCTTCCAGTGGATTTCACATATTGTTTCTTTTCCAAAAGGAATTCTGATCGAAGATGGACTGCAGTTTCGGCCTCGCAAAGGTGTTACTAACACCCCCAGGGAGAACCTAGCCATGGCAGTGCAGCGCATAATCTCCACACGTTAACTACTAAGCTATATTGTCACGAGTGCCTTTGGGTGACAGGATATATGTGTATTCTGAGAAATGTCAGGCATTTTCTCATGTCACATGCTGTAGTGGGATTTTCTATGAAGCACTTATATTTGCTTAAAACGAAAAAAATATATAGATATACAATGGTTTGCTAATTGTCTTTCATATTAGTCCGGCTACTTTTGCCCAAGTGTGTGTGCGTGGATGGGTGTGGGTGAGTTAACGCCTATACGCATTTTATATCTATCTGTGACTATTCATTTACGTTATTGCTTATAAGTATATATAAGAGGTATTCTTGACCTAGTGCTAACGTGATATTTTTACAATAATGAGTTCCAGCTCTGATGGTGTCCGTCAAATGAAGGACAAAAGCCCAGCCCGTTTTCACTTGATACGAGAGAGGGTATCTTGTGGACTGCGTCAACCGGAAGGCCGTAGTAAAGCTAAACGGTTGCAGTACAACGGGAATTGGTCGTCGTCTTCTGGAGAGATCAACCTACGAATCTCTTCTTCAGGCACTTTCATGCGAATTGAAAGTCTCCCAAACAATGTTACCTCAGGAAACTCATCGAAATCTTTTTAGACTTCATATCACATAGTACAGTTTGATTATCATAGAGTCAAACTCGTATTTACAATTACACTCGCACGTACTACTTATGTGCATAATAAGTAGACTTCGGAAATATCTGTAGCTCTTGACTTAGTATTTGAAACAGCCTCTGCCTCTTACGGCATAAAGTTAAGCAATGATTAGCGTTTTGTCGTCCAGGCAAGCCTTATCCAGGCCTGCAGGTGCAGTATGAACGGAGGCGTGTTGGATGCATTGTAAAAGTCTCGAATAGCAGCTCAATAAGCGAACTGGGCCGACTGTCCGATATGTCGTGATGCCAATTGCCTGTGAACACATGTCACAGGCCACATGACAGACAGGCCATTCTAATGCCGCCGGTCGTCAGGGCTCTGGCCCGCAACCAAGTCAGACTCGCCCATGGCCGGTACATACAGGCCTCTCAGCGATGGCCACAGTCTGCTAATCGGAGTGCAGACACGAACGCAGTCAATCCGTTGTACACCAGTCCTCTCTGCTCAGCCCTGCCGACCTACTACAGACCCATGGCGGACGATGAAAACCACAACTGCAACCATAGCCCCAACGACGACCTCGACTTTCCCTGCTTGCTGGCGTCCAAGTGGCCTGGTCAGACTCTGGACGTGGACTCCGTCCAGGTGGCTGAACTGTTGGATGGGCACGACGAGCTCTCGCGCTACCGTGACGAGTTCTGGCTGCCGAGACTGCAGGATTTGGCCGAGTTGGTGGGACTAGAGCTGCAGCCCGCTCGTGGTCTCGACGATTCGACTGGCCGAGTCGACCTCGACCGACCGACCGTCTATTTGTGTGGACACTCGCTCGGTCTTCAGCCTCGGGCGGCCACTTGTCTCGTCGACTCGGCCATGCGCCAGTGGGCCTCACTCGGTGTCCTCGTTCACCGAAGCGGTTCGTATCCGGCCTCCAAGTGTGACCTAACATTGGCCCAGGACACGGCTCGTCTGGTGGTGGGCGCCAAGGCGGACGAGGTCGGCATCGCCAACAG